AGTACTTATAAATTTATAACCAATTTAAATACCAATGAATATATAACATAAGGAAACTAGTGGTTTAGGTTTTTTTCTTAATCATGACGAAAACATCAAAAAAGTTAACAGAATAATTTTGAATGGCCGTAAAGTGAAGTTGATCGAGATAGCAGATATTGTAAAGATATCATCTGGACATGTACATCATATCATTCACGAATATTTATACATGAGAAATCTGTGTGCAAAATGGGTGCCGCGCGAGCTCACANCTCCAAAAGGGCCAGACTATCAACAGCGATTATTATATAGCATTATTGGATTGTTTAAAGGATGAATTCGTTAGAAACAGCCCCATTTGATGAAAAAAAAATTGCTGTTTTGTCAAGACCGTGTCACAAATCTATGAAAACAATGGCAAAATTGCATGAATTTGGCTTCATTTTGCTTCCACATCCACCATATTCGCCAGATCTGACCCCCCAGCGACTTTTTCCTGTTTTAGACCTCAAAAGAACCCTCGCTGGAAAAAAATTTAGCGCCAATGAAGAAGTAATCGCTAAAACTGAAACCTATTTTGAAGCAAAAGACAAATCGTACTACAATAATGATATCAAAAAGTTGGAAATTCGCTGTAATTGCTGGCGATGTATGGCGAGGCTGAGAGCAGACAATTGGCCAAGTCATTTACTGGAAGCCGAAGAGCAAAAGACCACTCGGCCGCCCAAGACAAAGATGAGTAGATAGGGTCCATAAAGACTTGGATATGCTGGGAATTTTGAACGGCGAAGAGCTAGCCACGGATAGAGACAGATGGAGGGAAGTAGTGGTTGCGGCGAAGGACCTAAAGGGTCTATTTTAAGCCAAAAAGAAAAAAAAATAATCCCATTATTTTTTCAGTTCATATTCAAATAAATTCAATATTTAATAAATTGTTTTCTATAAATAAAATGTAATCTGTTTATATTAGTATTAGATAACTATTCTAAATACACTGTGTACATATGTTGTCAAAGGGTCCATATGTTTGTCCAACACTACATTTGCCTGATAATATCAAGTTCCATTATAAATAAATCTGTGTCAAAAATTATTCAAAAATTCAATAAAATATTTACAATTCAAAATTAATGTTTTAAATAGTTATAAAATTTGTGCCTTCTTTCGATTAATTAAAAATAATTAAAATGGAATAAAACTAAATGAAATCAAATAATAAATAAAATAATATTAGAAATAACAATTTAGTTTGTTACCAATAACACAATAACATTTTATTTAATATCTACTTCATTACATTATATAGAATTTATGTATAATACTTAATACCTCTTCACACAATGATATGGCTAAATGTACTATCAGGAATGTGTACTGATCCCATTGTTAATACCTAGTCAGTAGTTGTTCACTTAATGTACCTGTTTTTTTTTTTTTTTTTTTCAGATAAATTAACTGTGCACTAATATTGAAATATAGTATTATAGGACTATAAGTAATCCTTTGATTACAATATTAAATGCTAAAATACTCTTAGTTACCAGATAAGTTTTTAAAAATTCAAGTTTATGAAGATCAATACTAAATACTAATATTATCATTGCCATTACTGTTATTACACTATTATTAATCATACCATCATTAATACTATTATTCATATTACCAATTTACTTGTTTCTTTAACCATGAACTTGTATTATTAATATTTTAATATAGTTGCAATAGCATTTGATGTAGTGAAACATTTTATAATTAAATAAATGCAATTTAAAAAAAATTAAATTATATAGCATTTTATTATTATTAACAAACATCTGTATTATGATTATTAAATAATAAAAATATATTTAATGCATTTTACTATTGTATATTAATGTTTTGTTTTAATTAATATGTATATTGTATATTATTTATTAAATCACAATATAAATTAAACACCAATAATTAGATAGTTCCTAATCAAATTCATGTAGTTGTATCCAAATAAAAAATTTTGCTCTTTGTAGGTGAGAAATTGGAAAGGTATAAGGAGTGGAGTTCAGTTATACATCTTTTAAAAGGCTTTAATATTTAAGATTTGTCAAAACTTTGATATTAAAATTCATAAAAAAAAATACCTACATTAAACTCAACCTTTTTTTGTTTTTCACTAAGTATAACTTATAATGAACCTGTTAAATACACTATTAATAATAAAATAACAATATTTACCTACATTTACATATATATATATATATATATATTCATTTTTTTTTTTATATACATATTTTAATCATAAGATTTCAAATGCAAATATTATTAACGTAAAGTTACATAAACACAGAATAAGTGAGTTATTACATTACATATGATAATTGTACAACTTTATTATAATTTTTTATTTTATTTTACTTATAAATTTGATAAGAATTAATTTTATTATAAATATTATATTATTTTTATCCTTATAGGTTCTTTAAGATTCTGATTGAAGGAGGAATGTATTGGTTTTATAGTGGTGATACTTTTTTTTATTATATACTCTGTGTACTTTTAATTCTCTGAGATATCTTCCTCCAATCTACATGTCAAGAAACTTTATTTGTATATCGGCTCTATAGTTGGTATTTTAGAAAGATAATTTTTTCTTAAATCTGATTCTTTTCAAAATCATGTTAAAATTGATACCGGTTTTATTTATTTTTTGTTATTACTTATTTTAATATTTTAATATTTTTCAAACAAACATTTTGATGAAAAGTTTTTGTTAGAAATGATTAATCATTGTATACATATATAGATACTCAGTTTTCATAGTCACTTACCATCAGAACGATTGTGTAATGTATATACTAGTGTATTTGTGTCCATATTCCTAATACTTTGTCATCCCTATGTCTACTTTAATTACTTGAAATTAAGAGACTTGAGATTTTAACAAAATACTAATATTTGCCATTTCTAGACTTGATCAAATTTAGCCATTAAGCAATTTTTGAACTATTTATAGTTGAGTTCAAACCTGAATTCCAAAAAAAATTATTCTCAAAAATACATTGGGCAAGTAACAGGGAAAAAACAAATGCAACACAATATAAATTATAATATGTTTACTGTAGTATCGTTGTATTCTATATATATGTTAAGGTGTATGACACAAGTGTATGTTGACATTCAACAAAAGGCAAAAACCGTAAGTAGTGAATATTGACCAAAATGGTCTTTACGCGGTCATATAGGTACCGCCGATTGTTGACATTTACAATTAGTATTTGGTGAATGTTGACCATATTTGAAGCGCGATATCTTTGCTCTGAGTAGAGCAAAGAAGCTCATGGTTTTACGAAGATGTTTATTTTTTTTCGGTGGACAACTTTTCTACCAGAGAACTTGTTCCGATTTGTACATGTAGTACCTTTCCTGTAAGGGAATCGATTTAGAGGGGATGTGTACTTTGGGGAGTTCATTTTCCGATTTTCTTAGAAGTTTTCTAAACAAACGTGAACAATTGAAAAAAAAACAGGATAATGTAAGAAATTTAGAAATGTAAGAATTAGTTAAAAATATTACGGCCTTCTTTTTTTCTGTGGACATATTTTATACCAGTAATTTTTCTTCTATTTATAATGATAGCAGTGATTAAAAGGAAATTTATCTGTGAAGCTATTTTAGAGAGTATTTTTGATTTTCTCGTTTTTCCTGTAAATGTGAAAAACCAGCAAAGGACATGAACAAAATGGGAAAACGTAAAAAAAACTAAAAAATCGGTACATTAAACAAATATTATTAAAAATAATTTATAATACCTTTTTAATTGTCTTACCATGACATATATTGTTGACAAAGCATCACTATCAACTGAACTTTTCTCAGAATCGTTATTTTTCGTATGCAATTGTTTATCGTTGCTTACAGATATACATCAAATTACCTATAAAAGTGGCTGCACCCGACCCTATTATCCTAAGATGTCTTCTTTTTTTTTTTTTTGAAACTAATGTCAGTGGTGTATTTGATGGGTAGTAATCAGTCGCCTCCCCATCAATTAGTTTATATAAGTATTTGCTATATATATATATTTAAAAATTTAATATTTCAAAAAAAGTTTCATTAGATACAAAAATAAAAATATGTCATGGTAAAATTAATCAAGTAGAATTTAAGCTTGTGTATGTACCCTGTGTACTAATAATTTTTGTGTGCCTCCTCATACAACTAAGTTAAATATACCACTGACCAATACACAAAATTATCCAGAAATCATGGATAGTAAAATTATTATCTATGACACAAGTATGACTAATATAAAAATACATATTTATAAACTTGATATTGTGTATTTATTAATAAATTCTAATATTTTGTGGATATAAATAATAAATAATATCCATTTACTGTATACATATTTATACTAATTTTAGTTACAGACTTAAGTCTAAATACAAAATAAAGTGCAATAATAAATAACAATATAACCAATAATAATAATCTATTAAGTATTAATAATAACTATAAAAGACATTAATTTGTAAAAAAAAATAAGTAAAAAATATTTAAAAGCAATATAAAATATACTAGGAATTTATAAAACATATATATGAATGGACCTATACCACATATACTATAGTAGAACTATGGTTTGAATGTTGAAAATAAAATAAATGAAATTCTATACTTGCATTTTCTATAAATCCATTCCTCTTAAAAATTTAAATTAAATTAATGCATTATTAGACAAAAAAATATTATTAATTAATTATTAATAAAAATTGTATGTTATCTCAAATCTTTAATTTTACTAGTTTTATTTGTAACAAAAATAATAATAATAATAATAAACCATTCAAAAATGTAAAACACCACTGTGTCTCTATAGAAAACAGTCATACAGTTATAGTCAGGACTTCTAAATAATCATGTTATATTTGAATGAGTTAAAGCATTGTTGTCCATACTTCTACAACCAAGAAATAGATAATGGAGTTTCTCTCTGACTGGTATGCTATTATGAGATGAGCACCATCTAATATGAATTACATTGTTTACTTTTATTTGTTAGAAATATTTTCCAAAATTACAAGTAAAGTATAAATAAGAAAATTATTTGTTTATTTATTATGTTTTTTACAGTTAAAGTAATTGTATTTTTCCGTTAGGATCATTAAATAATTACTTACATGAAAAATATTATATTTTTGTAAAATGAATTCAAATTCACGTCACACCAAAATCATAATTTTGGATTCAATTAATAAAAATTAGCGGCTTTAATGATAATTTTTGTAATAAATAAAATGATGCTATTTCTTTGTACAAGAATTTTTAAAGAAATTCTCTGGTATGGTTTATTTTTATATATATTTTACAAATAAAATTGGTAAAATCAAAGTTATAATATTAAAAAAAAATTCCAAAAAATCTATTCTTAGAACTACATATAGTGTACCATGTCATAAAGTTGGCCATTCTTTTTTAAAAAATTGTGTATAAATACTAATTCTGTGTACATGTAGTATTAAAAATTACAATTAGGTTTTAGAATTGGAAGAATCTAATGAAAATGTTGATAAAAATGAATCCAACTCTGCAATGAACATTATATTAGTTTCGAGTTCTTTGCCATAACAAACTTTAGTCTTATGTTCTTTCTTCAACAGATTAAATGTCTCTAAGCTTACTAAATTGTTTTTGTGAAGATAGTTGAAAAGTGTTAATATCACACCTAATAAAAAGATAAAATCATATTTATTAAAATAAATCACAGTAAGATAGGGGAGTTACTAACCCTTGGGATATTCCATCACAGCATACATTATTTCTATTCCGTATAAGCATTGAAGTTCTCGGTCAGACATTTTATATTTAGATACAGTTTTCTTTCGGTAATATTTTATAAAATACCAGGTTGATAAATAAACTTCAATATTATCAGAAAAATCTTCATTTAAATAGTTTAAATAATTAGATTATTATAATTTCAAAACTGAATTAGTAAAAAGTTAAACATTTTAAATTCAAATACAGGCTTACTTTGTCTTAAGATCATAAGAATTGAAATTGTTAAAGCACACATGAACTGAGGATATTCTATTATTTCTTCACTGATATTCTCCTTTAAACATAAATAAAATGTAGGCATTTTTTACTAATATTCTTAAACTAGTAAACTAGTAAAGAAGTACTACACATATAGAGGAAAGAGATAAACAATATTTCCAACAAAAACATTTTTACAGTACATATTTAATTAAAAAAACTGATATATTAATGAAAAAATGTCTTGAAATATTCTTGAATGTCTTAAAATAAGTTAAATATGCTTAGATTTGGTCAAAATTAAACAAAGAAGTATTTGACTTTAAAATAGTTCAGTAAAAGATCTGATTTAACCATTTTATGAGATACAATGTACTGTAACTAGTTATTTCATTAAAGGAGTCAAACATCAAAATATAAGGAAACATTTTGACACCTAGTGAGTAAAATCTTCCCAGAAATTGCCAACTTACATTAAAAAAGTATTCTGATTATTTAACTTGTTTAGAAAATAATTTTACTTACATGTATCCAATTTCGCAATATATAACTCACATATCTGTTATCAAACATGATCATTTTATTGTAGAAAGTTAAAGACAAAATAAATGATCCAACTTCCTAAAATGTAATAACCAATATTTAAATTTAATAAAATTAATACTTAATATTTAAACTTACATCATTTTTAAAATATGTATTCACATGTTTAACAGACAAGAATTTTTCAAAAGGGAAATAATCAGACATTTTCCACTTATTACACATCCATATAATTCCACCAATTTCCTAAATATGTAAACACTATGTATTAATAATGTAATTATGTCTTTGGTATATGATATAACTTAATAATAACATATAATGGTTGGAAACTATTATATTGTTATACTAAAATATTTAAACAATACTTAACAATACTTATTAACTAATGTCAACCAGTGGGGTATCCAGGAGGGGTTGGACCCGAAATAAAAAATAAAAGAAGAAATTAAAAGAGAAAAATTCTAATAATTTAAAAAAAGAATAAAGTGTTATGACACTTTACAGTTTACACAACTAATACAAATTAATAATATACATGTCCAGTCCAGTGTAGTGTGTGTATTATAATAATAGGTAGATCTATGGTTATCGCTTTTGATTATCCAAAAGACAAAGTATTTTGCAATTATCAATAGAAGAAGTACTTACTAATACTACTAGAAGAAGTATTATTCGAAGAAATTCAACCAACCATTTTACATGCACTAGATAAAATTACACTTTGGACAGATTTTGACATTTCTAGTTCTACAAGTCACCTTCTTACTGAGATAAACAGTTAAAATATCAAACAGCTTAATCTATTTTAATGAAAATACTTTCCATACGTTTTCCACTTGACCAATATCTTCAAACAATAAATCTTGATTTAAAGACTGCATTAAAAGCTGCTAATGTTTAAAATAATATTCAGGATATTAGAGAAAATTACGATGTAGTTTTTAACAATTATTTTTATTCTTAATAACTTAACAACTGTCTGTGAAAAATTTGATATTACTGTTAGTTTGCCACATCAATCTAAATCAAATGATTCGGAATATTTTTTTAAGTATTCATACCTTACATAGGTATTTGAATAAACCAATTAAACGAAAGATTTTTATCGCACATCAATTGTTTTGAATAATTTTGAATGTATTTTACCTAAGATAGAAATGAAAATATCTGCAGATATCAAAGATAAATTCAAATAATTAGTAGAAACATATCTTGAAATAATTGAATGTAACGATTCAAATTTAAATGATCATATATGAAATGGAGAATTTGATTTTTAGTACACTAAATATTCAAATTTAAAATCTGCCTAACTCAAAAACAAAAATACTAGTACTAAGTATACTTCCAAACTAGTTCAGATGTTTATCCAGTAATATCTAAACTTCTTTAAAAATTTTTAACACTTCCAGTGTCTACTGCTATGGGAGAATGATCCGTTTCAACACTCCATCTTTTGAAAACATATTTGAGAAATTCTTCGGGACAAATACATTTAAATGGTTTAGCTTTACTAAAATATATTCATTGTAATATTAACAGTTTATATTGTGAATCAAAATACAAACAATTGTAAAATTAAATTTGGAGTAAATTTTTTGGATAATTATTAGGAACTTCAATTTACAGATTAAATTAACTTATGGTTAGTTAACTAACAATGAAAAACTAACCCTATATAAATTAAACATTAAAAATGTATTTACTATAACTTTAAATAGAGTACAATTAATTTGTATGGTTTATATAAAGAGTTTATATTAAGAGTAGAATAAAAGAAATACAAATAATAAACTAAAAATGTAACTCCTATCACATAAAAAGTATTATTAACTATGATGATATGTATAGTGATTACTAATATCACAATAATAAATATAAAAGTAACCATAATCACAAAATAACTTACTTCAGTCATATAATGTGGTTCTTTCAAACTTGAATTAATTGTTTGTAATATTTTAATGAAGAGAATACTGGAATTGTCAGGACATACAGATATACAAGAATTTCTCAAATCATCAATTTCAAAAGTTTCTGTAAACAATGGAACTACAAAAAAAAAAAAAATACATATATTTTAAATGCAAAGATTTAGATTTAAAATTAATTTGACTTAACAATATAGAAAAATCTCACCAAAAATTGTACTTATATAATCCAAGAATTGTGGATAATCAATCAAATAATCACTCCAGTTTTTAAGGATCTCATCAAATCTACATAAAAAAAACAGCTTATTATAATTTGTTATTTATGTTATTGTTGCAAGACTGGGAAATAGATGCAAATAATTGATAAAATAATAGCTGACAAAATAATTCTAATATTATCCAAGTACACTATGAGGTAGAATTCTATACCCTAGTTCAGGGATCTTCAACATTTTTATGCAACAGGCCACATATTGTTTTCTAAAAATTTTGCAGATTGCATTCATAGAAAAAAATTAAATTAAATTAAATTTTAAATTACAAATTATTGTTACAAAATATAAATATTTATTTCAAATTTCAATTACAATATAATTATTTTATTTTTAGTGTGATAATTTACATTGTTTTTTAATATGTTCATTCTACAATTGATAATTATTAGGAAACAGCCAATATTTGTATGTAAGTAATTTAATTTATCTTATCCTATATTTCTCAATTTTTATAATAATAGCCATGTCTTATAGCTGTTTTAGTTTTATCAAAATAGAAAAATAACATGCCTTACTTAAAATGTAATTTTAAAAATAAATAAAGACAAAATGAGGAAATAAGTTTGAAAATCAGGTAATTCAGTGGTCCTGCTTTGATTACTTATTTTCTGATTTCTAACATTTATTTGAAAATTAAATAACTTAAAATATTATTTTGAAAAAAATAATACCCTCCAATCACATCAAACAAAGAAAGAACTTCACCAGCATTTTTATGTATGTAAACCAAAAGTTCAGCAAATATTTTTCCGGCTTCTGTTCTGCTAGTAGAAGTGCTATCTAGTGATACATGTATCATGGCTTTAACAAATTCTTTTTGTCTATTTCGAATAACGGAACCAATGTCTTCTATTAGTGAATATACAATATCCTATAGAAACATATTAAATATTCAAATATAAATCATAAATGCAATATTTTGAGGAAATTGAACTTAAATAAATACATACCTCCAAATTTTGCATTTCAGAATATTCATATAAAATATTTTTGCACAACATATTTATTTTGATTGAAATTTCTGGATTTAAATCGTCCATTGAATTTTCAACAGATGATGAGGTTTGAGCACATGATGAGAGCATTATTACTCACTCTGCCTATTTCAATAACTTGTTAACACGGTTTAAGATATTTATACCTTAGTCTTCAAAAGATATGTGTTGAGATTTTTAATTTAATAATAATAATAAATCAATTCTAAAACCGTTTTTGGTGAATTACCAAATAACAGTTCACGGGCTGAATAATGACTAATAGCTGCTACTGCAATAAACTTCTATAAATTATAATAACATAATATTTTAGTAAAATCAATACTACAATATTATAGTTTGAGCAAAATTGCAAATCATCCGCTTTTAAAGATCATATGTATCTAAGTTGGTGTCACTGGATTACAGTCATGATATTATCACTCTTTTCGTTATCGCTAATTTCTCATTTCAGGTCACGATTGAAGATACACCGGTTGCCCAACGGGCCATGAGATTTTGACTACAGTCGTTTACAATATTACTTTGCTAATAAAAAAAATTCCATAGTGGAATATTTGTGTGCTACATGATATCGCTATCGCAATTCACAAAAATGTGTTACTGGCCATTACTCGCCGAGATTGGTCGTTCGCCTTAACGTCGTTCTTTCTCGTATTCGTACACGCTTTGACATGATGGTAATATCGTTGCTACGGTAATACCACTACGCATTTAACTCGCCGCATTTCGGCGTTATTTTCGTACGTCTCCTTCGGTTAAACGCTCGCGAAGCGCCCGTTTTGTTTCGCCGTCGCGCGATGACCATATTTTTTTCGGTCGTTCAGGCGTAAAAATTGGATATCTGTCTGTTCGAAACAAGTCACGCGTACCCGTAAAACTATCGTAGTGGTTCGGTAGGCAGGCAGGCAGGCAGGTAGGGCAGTTTAGGTGCTTAAGGTCCCCGATTCGATTCACGGCGTCACCGCCACCTTCGAGCGTTCTGTAAAATTAACCCTGCCGCCCTGACTGATTTTCTGCGTTTTTTTCGCGAATTTTTACATTTCGAGTAGAACGAGAAATGTATTGGTTTAACAATGATGCTTATTTTTCACTTTTCTACCAGAAAGTATATTCCGATTATTAAATGCAGCACCTTTTCCGAAAGGAAATTTTTTCCGGGTGGTACTTTATACAGGTCGTTTTTTGAAATACCTCGGTCTTTGGATTAAAATAGATTGAAAGATTAAAAGTGAGGTTGTCATTGGCAACCGTTTTTATTTATTTATTGTTATTTATACATTTTTTATTATTTTAATCTTTTCCAAACAATCATGGTTGTTATGGAAACGCACATTGTTTTAATCATTTATCATAATATAACATAACATCATATATTGTATTGTTGACAAAGCAACTTTATCAACTAATCTCGGCTCAGAATCTTTTTTTCGTAAGCAATAGTTTATCGTTGCTTACAGACATACATTAAATTCACGTCTGTAGTCTACCTTCCCAACTTCCCACCTATAACAGCTAATAAAGTGGCCAAGTAGCTGCACCCACATGCAAAGTATATCTGTCCTTTTTTTTTATTTTTTTTTCGGTATTATATTAACTATTGTTATAATTATTATATTAAACGTTATTTTATTTATTTTTTCGAATATTATTACTTTTTTTTATTTTCCGCGAAAACCCTCCTTTTACAGTATTATAGTAACGTTTATCGCGGTTACGTACCACTTTTCCGAACGAATAAACGTACTTATATGTCCGAAATACGACTCAGTTTTCCGGAGCGCTATAATTTGTTGGAAAGTATTTTGTGGGAAATTGATATTTTCGGAAAACGTTTTTTGTCGGAAAATTAAATCGTTGGAAAATATTTTGTCGGAAAAATAATTCATCGGAAAGTATTTTGTTGGAACTGTTCAATACGATTTCATCATAAGCACTCCGTGACTGCATGTTATCTTCGTTGGGTGAAAATTATTTCCCGACGAAATACTCGCCGACGAATTATTTTTCCGACGAAATACGGTTCGGACAAACTACGTTTCCAACGAAATACGGTTCCGACATATGATTTTCCAATATTTTACGCGCCACCAGTTTCTCGATTGTATTTACGCTGTTATGAATTATATCATTATATCTCATCGTTATTACGAAAAATATTTCCATTTGACGTGTACAATATTTTTAATACGTACGTAAATGTATCTATGCGCATTATTATTATGTAGGTACCTACGTGATAAAAAGTTTATTATTAAATGGATTGGTTGTCATTTTTCTTAAGTACCTACTTTTTAGTCATTACTTTTGTATTATTAAGCGGGAAACGGGAAGTAAGGTAATTTTATTTGTTTTAATGTTAATTTTGGATAATGGTGGGGGTACGCCGATTTCCATTGTCGGACACTCGGACACCTATGACTGGTGTAAAATAATCAGTATCCAGTGTTAGTAAACCAGTATTAAATGTATCGTTACACCAGTTTGTATATCAACGAGTTTCTGGCAAAAACTAATTGTAGTTATGCTATTAGTATAATTATACTACTAGAGGGCATTCAAATCACTAGGTTAATCAAAACACATTGATGCGTAATAGTTCTTCCACCCATTACTCCCAGCCTTTTCAAGGCCAGTGGCCAGTCCATTACATTATTTCTTCGTTACTACAATAATCATTTTATGTATGTTATTATTTGTTTATGAGTTGTATATTTTCAGAAATAGAGAGCACCACGATCGGTTTTCATCCTGGCTCTGGAAAGAACGGTTAGAGCACATTAATCGAGTATAGTGGTTTCAGGTGGTTTATAAGACTCAAGTCACTCGAGGTCATCCATTAATTTAACCTATAATATATTTGGGTAGTAAACGGAAATCGATTTTGGCGGTAAACGATAACGCCCGTAAATTTCTTATCCTTTGTACGCATGAAACATCATTTATCATGGTTGTAAAAAAAATGTTATTACTATTGCTAATTCTGGATTTATTCTTTACTAAGTGTTTAGACGTGATAAGCAATTGATAGAATAGACGTGATTTCTCCTTGTTTGTTTTACATTTTAATTCAGTTAGTTTTAATGTAAATGATTAATGTTTTTCCAAACAATTACATTTATGTGTACAAGAGGACAAAGAGGCGATAGAAGATAGATCATAGAGTTGCGTATAATTCAGCGATACTGTAGTCTGTGGTGAGTCCTTCATCGGTACCTATACATTTTTGAAGTTCATTTTTATAACAGTGGACTTGATGTTTTAAGCAATGATAATTTACCAACATTTTCATCTTTTACAACCCGTAATATCTCGTGAAATAAATAAAATAATTATCGTTTTTTGTTTTTATTATTATCACTAGATTGTTTTCATTACTACCTACATATATAATTTTTTTATTATTTACACCTACCTGTAATTAAGCTTTTTGTAATAAATAATTAAATTTTTTTTTAAGAATAGATTCTGAATTGTATTTTGAATTAAATTAAATAAGAGTGATTACCTGCAATAAAAATAAAATTACCCTATTACACCATAGATATATAATTTGAACATAAATATAATTGTATTTCAAATTTTTTTAGTGATTAGGTATTTATTGTTTGCTGATTAAAATTTAAATCATAGTTAAAGGTTAAACTCAGTTGTTTGTTTTAAACATTAAATTAGATTATCAGTAAATATTAGATTTTGTGAGCCTGTTTTAGATTTTTTAAAAATACTAATAATTATTATTCTTTATACCATATAAGATTCTACTATTTGTCAATAGTTATAAATTTAATGATTCTATGTTTAAATTAAAATAATCCAATTAAATATTTACAAATCAATAATAGTATAGTTTTTTAATAGGTATTAATTTCTTATAGTAAGTAAATTATACTACTATAGAATTCCAAATAATTTGTACTTTTAATATGTAGGAATTTAGTTTCTTATATTTTTCCCATAATCATAGTTCAAGATCTTTACTGTGTCTTATAACTGTTCTATCAATATCTTTAATGTTCATGACAAGGACAAATTTAGTAATGAATAAAAATATTATTATAAATACAGATCCTCTTTACATAGGTAAATATTTAAAACTAAAATATTAATCATTTTTATAAAAATATTACATCTTAGAAAATAATATAAATATTTAATACTGTGTGTCCCATTCTTGTTTTTTTTAAAATTGGGTTATCTTTGAGGGAGACATCAATGTGAAGAAAAATTAAATTATTATTTTCATCCCCTAAACAAAAACACACAAAAAAACTTTATTTATTCATTTAAGAAAATTTTATAAATCACCATTTTGTAAAAAATAGTATTCCTAAAATTTGTATGTATCATTCATTCATATCCGATTATTAGTTTATTAATTATAGCTGTTTTAATTTCTAGAAAATAGGTGTGAAAAAAATTAATATTCAATAAATAACATGTTATGCGATAAGGAATCACAATCAGACCAGTAATTCTTTACCTTTTATTGAATATTATTTTCACGTCTATTTTCTAAAAATTAAAACGACTATAATTAATTAACTATTAATCAGATATGAATATTATCAATTTATTACAAATCAGATTGAAGTCTTAAAAAATTAGATTTTGCGTTATTATCTGAGTAATAAAAAGTAAGATAAAATCTTTTGTGCCTACATATAAAAATATATTTAACCTCTATAATTAATTATGAACCTAAAAAATTGTGTATTTTTAAATATTGTAATAAATGTAAATTAAATTTCTATTATACTGTTTGTGTACTTATATTATGATAGTGTAGGTAGGAAGAAGGGGGCTTCACTCAGAATCTATTTTTATTGCAATAATTTAGCTTTGCTTTCATTATGTATACTAAATTGATCTAATCTTCTCAAATTGTCCACCTACATCATTGGATAATCGTTGGTGGGAAGTATGTATCAATTTATTTACTATTGTTTGATACCTACCTATCATTGTATGATATTGGTTATAATTTTAATAATTCCTATTTGTAAATTAAATACCATTCAATTATAAAAAAAAAGACCTGATACTATTGATGATTGTTAAAGGTGGGAAATTAAGAAATGCATTAACTAGACAAAGTTTACTTTAAATTTAGAGCAATATTTCTGGTAGAAAAGTTGTGAACTGACAAAAAAAAATTAAAAACACTATTTAATAGAGATTTTTAGATAGTATTATGGTTATACTACATAATAATGTTAAACTTGATTTTGACTATAGATAGTATTAATGTTATAGAAAATAAGACAACCATAAATAATTAATAATGCTATTTATTTATAATGTATTTAGCCATATTCAATTTATACTAAAGAAAGTTGTCAATGGAATATAATTATATTTAATTGATAATTTTGATTAGTAAATTCTATTTAAATTGATATAAATCACAAATATTGTACTTTATTTTTATAATATTTTTGTTTAGGATAAAAATGAATGCAGGTTTTAAAGAAGAGCGACCGCCACATCCTAGAGCCAATGCTAGTATTTTCAAAATACTGACATTTTGGTAATTATATTTGTTTAAAAATATTTAAGTATATTTTTTAAATGGATATCAAAATTTCAAAAAAGCATTTAAATTATTAATAGCAAATGATTGCATGAATAAATTATAGTAATACAAAATATAGTGTATCTGATTTGCCTTTAAATTGTTATTTTTTCATCCTTTTCCTTCAATTTTTGCTTCAAATTGAATTGACTTTTGTTTGGTTAATGGTTTCACTTAAAATTACTTAAATCAGTTTTCATATCAGAAATAGAGTAACTAACATATTGTATTAAATTTCCACCAAAATTTTATAATGAAAAACTTATTTGTGAATAACTAATAACTAAGATTTATCTACAATTTGTTATAAACAAATTTTTTTCTGGTTTAAATATATTTTTTTTTTTTCTATACAAAAATATTGTGTTTTATTCATGTAGATTTTCTTGTTTAAATAGTTAGTTAAAGAACTACAAAATTTGAAATCATGTTTCTAAGAATTATTAGAGGTGTGTAGAATGTTGGAAAATATTTTTTCAGAACCCTATTTTATAGGAAAGTATTTTATTGTAACCATATTTTGTTGGAACTGTATATTGTCAGAAAATAATTTTAACTGTTATTGAACAGCTTATTACTATATCTTGTCATAAGTTGCCAGATAAAGATTATTTTTAAACTATATACTCTCAAACAATAGTTTCTGACAAATTATATTTCTCATAAAACACTTATAGAAAAATGTATCCTTTTCCTAATTAAAAAAAGATGGATAACCAAAATACAAATTTACTTTATTACTTCAAATTTTGTTCATACAAATTCTGTTATATTATTGTATATATTGTGTTGCCTTTTATATTTCACAAGTTTGTATTAATATTTATAACGTAAATCTATAATGTTTATTTATTGACTTTTTAATACCTATTATAATGTATTTATCTGTATAAGGTATTTTTACACAAACTTCAATTATAATTAGTATATTATTTTATATATATTCTAAAATTCTTTTTTTATTATGGTCTTTTTTTAATATTAATATTCTAATTTAAGATTAGGTCATTTGATTTAAATTATCAACTTATTTATAACTTATATAACTTGAATATTTATTACTTATTTTACATTCAGGTGGATTATAAAGCTTTTTAAAACAGGACAAACAAGAGATTTAGAAGTAAATGATTTGTATACAACACTTGATGATCATTCATCATCATCATTAGGGAAAGAATTGGAAAGGTAAATTTATTTACTAATTAACATATATATATATATATATATATATATACACAGTGTGATCTTATGTTACAGCAAGTGGAACACTATATCTCTTCAATGGGTAGATGGATATCAAAAATTACAATACCGAAATTGATTTGAACAAATATTCCTCTTATCTATGGAATTTTAAATATATGTTAGGATTTAAATTTCCAAATTTAACTCCCAAATTTTCCATAAGGGGGTCTAAAATGTTTAAGTCCATGTATAATTTTTGATAACACTATTTAATAAAAATGTTTCATTATACATTATTCTCTATTTGTATATTCATAGGAGATAATTGTTGTAACATAGAATTTTGATCACCCTGTTTATATATATATATACAATATTAATTTTGTACTTTAATCAAATATACTTTAATTTTTTTTGTTTAAGGCAATGGAAAATACAAATAACTAAAGCAAAAAGAACAAATGTACAGCCTAGTTTATTTAAAGCTTTATTTCATATGTTTGGACCTAGCTTGATGTTGTATGGATTTTTACTCTTTATTATTGAAATTGTATTTAGGTAAGAATTAAATTTTTATAAAAATGAAATTATAAACCACAAAATTATGCATTATTTCTGAGTATTTGATGCATAAACTGAAATATTATACTGTTAATGCTTTTAAAAATAGAAAAATGTTCTATTTAATTTTCTATTTTTTGAAATAGGGATGCAATGTTTTTACATTTTCATATTTGGAAATTTACATTAATAAACTAATGTATAATGGTAGTTTTACAAAAATTTAAATTTAAACAATTGGTAATATTCCTTTAAATAATATTGAATTTTATGATAATTAAAAGAATATTTACATTTATCCACTGTTCAGGATACAATAATAGTTAGCAGACATATTTTAACTCAATTTATGTTAAACTTGGTTTTTTAGGATGATTCAACCCAAATGTATTGGTCACTTGATCAGTCATTTTGATCCATCTACTACTGATTTAAAAACAGCAACTTTGGCTGCTATTACATTGACGTCATCTACATTAGTGTGCACAGTTGGATTGCACCAACATTTGTTTAATCAATGTGTAATTGGTTATAAAATGCGTATTGCTGTAACCTCTATTGCTTACTCAAAGGTATACAATAATAAAAATTATACAAAAATAAAAATTAATAGTATTAATGAAAAGCATTATTGAAATTATTGATGGGATTACCCATGCTTATTAATACATGCTTATTTGTTCATTTTTATTTTCTACTTCTTCTCTTCACTCTGCGTCATTAATAATAAATTATTTCAATAATCTATAAATATTAATAATATATGACACATATTGACCTTTCCATATAAAATAAATGAACATATTGTTTTTATTATAATATTATATTAGATGAAATTCAAATTGAATGTAAAATATGTTAGGAAGATATTATAATATATAAGATAATTTAATATAGTGCTGTATTCACTAATAAATCATTGAATCATATAACAACTGATTCTGTTTGAAGTTCAGTTAATCACTTTTATTCAAAATTGTATTATTTGATTATTTTTACAGAATAACAATTTAAAACAAACAAAAAAAAAAATTAAAACTGTTATTGTGTACATATTCCTATTTTTTCTCATTAAGAAAACTATATGGAAAATTAATAAATTACCTCCCCAATGCACAAACTTAAATTGTCTATTAAAAACTACTGTTAATGATGATTATTTGAGCAAGTTTGTGGTTGAAAACTATTTAAAGGGATGGTGACTGTGTAATGTATATATATATATATATATATATGTTAGTCAATTTACATCTAAAAGCTAGATAATACTGTAAAAATTTGTTTAGCGAATTTCAATTTTGAAAACAGATTATGATTCTTTAGGTACAAGTTCTTCACTAGGATTATGTTGGTTTTAGATATGTAATGGTTTTACTGTAAATTGTAAAATGATTTTTACTACTTAAATAAATACTTAAAATATTATATTATAAATTTAGCAACAATTTAAAAATAATTTCAACATATCTCAATAATGAATCATAATATGTTTTCAAAATTTAAAACTGTTACATAGAATTCCTACAATTTTATCTATTTTTCTTTAAACATTTTGTTATACCATTAAACCAGGCTGTATCATTTCCACTTAAATGTTTACCAACTAAGCAGTAGATTGAAATCTTATCATTATGGTGTTAATGTTAAAATTTATAACATTTCAAAATCTAAAGACATTTTAAAAATCATCACCAATCCCTTAAAAAACAAAAAAAATAAAGTATACAGTATCGTAATAAAAATTTAACCTTTCTCTCAGAATCCGAAAGGAGAAATTTAAAACAAAAATTTAACATTGTTTGTATATTATATTATTAGAGGCTGTTTGTGTGTCTTATATACCAATATGACTATTATTGTGTTGGCCATCAGATCAGACCACTCATCTTGGAATACAGATATTTTATAGGATTTGCTTGGTGGTACCACTATGCTAAAGACTTGGTCACCACACGCAGTATGCACATGAAAATGTGTGTCATGGTTTCTTATTTAAAATGAGGTATATTTTGCAATTCTCACAAGATTTAATAAACCCAACATACAGTAGTGTATGTAGGATTTTAGTTCTATTAGGGTTTTCACTATAGATGTATCATAGACTAGTAGGGGGCTTCATCCCTAAACCCCCTATATAACTGAACTTGTAAATAATACCATCATTAAAATACAAAATAATTCTTCCAAATTCCAATTTTTGTATATTTTTTAACTCTTAAGATCTTGTACTTAATTTGATAGTTATAAAAAAAAAATTAGTAATCAAATAAAGTATTTGGTAATAAAATATTTATCATAAACCCAAATAATAAAATAACTAAACAATATGCATACAAACAATAACAATTTTATTTGATAGAGTATACTTAAAAATAATATATCCATATTCTATTGAGACATAGACCATAGATATACCCTTACATACCTTTACAAGACATGATTATCACTTTTTTTTTTTAATTGAATTAAAACTATCAATAAAAATTATCAATACTAATACTTAAAAAAAATTGAGAGGAGGAAGAGATTTTGAGGAGGGTGGTATAAAAACCCTAGAACCTTACCCATATATACCACTGCCAATATGACCAGAGTGTGATTGCTATATATTTGAATTGACAAACAAAAGATCTTGTTTTAATTTTTGAAAACTGATTTAATGTTATTTGTTTTGTAGAACATTTTCAGGTATATTCCAAATATTATAAAGGATGATCAATATTATGTAAGACTTTTTCATAATTTTTTTTGGAAAATTCAAGAAGCCATCAGCTCTAAAATATTACATTACCTTATTTTTTATTCATCCTTATATTTGGTGGTAAAATAACTATATATCACATTTTAGTTTCCAAATGAGAAATATGGTCTAATTGGCTATTAAGAATTGTATAAATAGATTAAGTTTTAACTTCTAATTTAAATATATTTTTGTGTTGACATTTTTAATTTCTATCATTCCATTCAAGAGTGATTTCATTTTAAGATTGCCAGTTTGTGAGTTGGGAGAGTATTGTCGAGCATTATTTGGTTAGCAGAGTGGTGCATGGCCCTTTAATAGTACCCCACTACTTTTCTTCTACTCATAAACTTAAAAATGAACAATTTTATGATGGCTTAACGAAAATTAACCAGCTTAATGTTCTTTTGCTTGCATATCTTTGAACTTGCTCTATCAAGTATCCCTACTGATTTATTTTAATTTTATTTATGAATTGTGTTTCTGAATAAAGAGTAGAACCCATAATCTTATCGGAGTTCTTTGTTTTATTTAGCTTATATAAATTTTAAGAAACTTTAATTTTAAATTTATACAGTTAAACTTTATGGTTTTTATAAGTGTCTACTTATGATTAATAAAACATGGTTTACAGTACCTAAACTATACATGTATGGGGCAATTAATTACATTAAGTCTAAGATTAAGTTTTATATAAGTGTTTTAGACTTTATAGGTTTTAAAACACATTTTACTTATGTTTGTATATTAGAAACATTTATATGTTAACACTGTCAGCATTATCATCAGGAAGTGTTGGGGTTTATACCCTTTAACATCACGTTCCTCCCAATATTTTTTTAGTTTTTTTTTGTTTACAAATTATATGTAATGATTTGTAATGCATAGATTAATAGCAGTATTTCTTAAAAACTATAAGTACCAAATAGGTACCATTAACTAAAATAAGTCTTGGTACGTGTTTTAGACTTTTAGATCAAATGTGAAGCCAAGAAATAATAATTCTTGCTAAGATTTTTTATCCTCGGACATGCATTTTTCGCCTTGTATCATTTGGTTTAAAACATTTTTCTAGATTTCTTACGGATTATCTTAACAATTTAAAAAATTAACAACAAAATGACGATACATTGGTTTTCTTTTGTCGATTTTAAAGTTATCTTGATCACAAGGTAAAAAAACCATGACAAATGCATTACTAGATTACTGAGCTCCCAAAGTGGATAATAATAGTAATATTAATCCTCCTTGCGAGCTGCAGTCGAAATTATTTTGTAATTTTTTAATTATATATCTTTGATTTCAGTATGTAAACTAAATTAACTACCTTCTATACAAGTGGTTTTCAAACTTTTTTGAACACGGTACACTTCGCTTTACACATTTTAACGGTACACTGTGACTTTTTTTGTCATTATTTCTGTACAAAATTAGAATTAATAACAAAATTGATGGGTCATACTCAAATGAATCATAATCAAAAGAGTTACACTTCATACTTAACGAGTGGATCATCGTAACTTGTGGTTCATCACAATTTAAGAAAAACAAATTTCAAAAGACCGCAGAACCCAGTTTGAAAACCACTGTAACTTCTGCCCTATAACAATAGCCTATCCGTGATGCGGAGTATGTTATGCGTATTTTTTATATCATTATTGACTAATAAAAGTGAATTTAAATTAATTAAAATAATTTTATATTTTATACCAGCTATAATTATTTACCATTAGTTTCATCTTCCTCTCTTCCTTGGTTATTTGACAGCAGTGTTGGAATCCATTAATTTCATCTATTGAATGTATGTTCATGCCTTTTTTCTATTATTTTATTTTTGTTGATTTCTTGATTACCTTGACAACAAGAGAAAAACAACGATGAATTCTTCAAAATCAACTTCGCTGGGAATCGTTCTTCGTTAGCAATGCATTACGTACAGTATACAAACTAAATTAGGGTTGTTAATAGGAATTTTAATAAGGACACTCGATTTTCAAATCTAAATAAAACAATTTGTGTGCAAGATATGCACTCAATTTTTTTCTCATTTGAAAGAATATTTTATAGCAATTATGTATGAAATACATCGTTTAAATATCTGCCGCAGCTTTGCTTAGTGACATATATTCGGAAGTCCAATTTTTAATGATTTTCTTGCATAAATCTCGATTTATTTGTTGGATATTGTTAGTTATGTTGACTTTGGGGGCATCAGTTGTTTACAGTTTATTTACATAGACTTGCGATTTAAGATAACCTCAAAGGTAAAGCTGGGCAAGTTAGTAATTTTTTTCAACTAGTTAAAGTTATGTTAGTTTAGTATAAAATCTAACTAAGTTAGAATATAAGTTAGTTTTAAAATTTTCCAAATTTCTAACTTAGAGTAAAAGTTAGTTTTTTTTTATTTTAAAATATAAATTAAAAAACCAGTTCAAATGTAAAGTATTATGTAAATTAATTATTAAGTGGGTAACTAACTTAAATTATTGGTGATGATTGAAAAATTAAATTAAATTGATCAAAGTTAGGTCAAAGTTAGATCAAGTAGGTAAGTAATAACTTAAATTTCTTGGAAATTAATTTTAATATCAGTTATTAGTACATAGAAAGTTTAACAAAAAAAGAAATATACAAACAGGATAACACTATATTTATCTATACTGGCATAATCATAATAATATAAATATAAACATTTTTGATAGGATATAATATACAATGATATTACCTATATTGCATATTTTGGTTATATTATATAGTTTTATTATAAAAATAGGCCACGAACATAATATTATAATAGTCTATAGACTATCTATATATCTATTATGTGTAGTGGTTACCATGTATTACCAATCACCATAGACTGCTGAGATAGATAAGAATATAATATAGAGTATGTTCTTATCTATCTCAGTGCTATAGACATAAAAACAACTAGAATATAGCCGACTAATTAGATCCTAATATATATATATATATATTAGTATAGATTTAGTATATGATCTAAGATCGACTATAATTTTTTATCGAATAGTATGACAAGAAAAATGTTTTCATCATAAAATTGAAAATACTCAATATTTTACAGAACATTTGGATTTTTGAAATTAAAAAAAAAAAAAAACAAAAATAACTAGTTTCTTTTTGTTTTTAACAAGTTAGATTAGAATATTATCCACATTCAATTCAACTACTTAAGTTACTAAGTTATTATGAATAAAAACTAACTAGGTTAATTAGAAAGTTACTTAAAAAGTAACTTTCTAACTAGTTAGTGCTCAGCTTTGCCCAAAGAAAGAAGTCTAAAGGTGTTAAATCGAACGACCTTGGTGGCCTATCCACCACATGAGATATCCATGCCCTCAAATTTCGCATGTCTACATATGTTAGTCTTTCGTGGCATGCGCTGTGTGACATATAGCGTCATTGTTGGAACCGCATGTTGTCGGTAATAATATGCATATCATTCAGTTTAGGCCACAAGAAGTTTTAATCACATTTGTAACGCTCACTGTTGGCAATTATGGCAATGCTAGTTCGTTTTGGAAGAAGTATGAACCGATTATTCTGCCAGATCAAAATATACACCAAACAGTAACTTTAACAGGATGCATTTGGTGTTGATGTATCTCATATGGATTGATAACGTCCCAAATTTGACAAATTTGTTTATTTTATCCAAAAATGGGCCTCGCTGCTAATGATATTTTTTTTTTTGGTGAAATTCGAAATTTAGTTTCTTGAACGGAGCACTGATTTTCATAATAAAATCTAATAATTTGCATACGTTTTCAACGTTATAACCTTCAATAGTGATTTGCTATACACTTCTGAACAATTCACAATAAATTTCAAAGATAACGCACTAACAACACAGCTATCACCTATTAAAATTCGAGCGTCTATTAAAATACTCGTTTTATCCTATACTTTCCCCAATCCTCAACTTCAACAGTGACCTACCCAATTTTTTGAAACTCATACCCCCTCTCCCCCTGAAAATAAATCGTGGTTGCGCCATTAAATACTGTTAATATTGATATTTTCTAACAATCCTTGATACTGTTTTCTTTAGCCATAAGTTAGGTTCTGCAAATGAGGATTTTGTGGTAATAATGACTTAATAAAATTATAACTGACATATTATTAAGACCTCATTTATTAATAATTCTTATTTTGAAAGCTTATTACTAGTTTTATTTTCTGAGCAGTGACTTTCTAACTTCTCACCTACAGCAGTCTTCTTACATTATGTCCTGCATATTGAACGTTTTTTTTCTCAGATTGCAGTTTTTAAAAGTACTTACCTAACTGTATAAGCGTGCACAGGATTTTGTATCCGATGCAGCATACTTTTCCAACCGCCCCAATAAAACAATAAACAACCAACTTACTTGTTTATTAAATAAAGCAACTAGGATGATAAAACCTAAACCAATTATTACAAAAAAAATCTATTGGATACATTTTAATTACTCCTCCCTCCTGGATTATATTCATAGATATATTTAAAAACTAGATACCCGACTCCCTATACAATAATGTATACAATTTATGATTCCCAGCATCATTTTTCACTTGGGTGATGTTTACAAATTCTTATTTTTTTTCTTAACAAAAAAAATTGTTCAGTAATGAGGTTCATTTTTATTATTAATTATTAATGACAAATAATAATAGAGAGCAAAATCAAATAATATATATATATTTGCATAAAATAATAGTACAATTAAAAGTTTTAAACAAATTTATATTATATATGACTTAAACTTCCTGATTTGAAAAAAATAATAAAATAGTTAATATCAACTTATGAAGTCTCTAAAATAATTACATTAGAACAGTCTAATTCACTAAATTTGGTTTGATTTAGAGAAAAGTGTTCCCAGTCAATATAGTTCATTGCAAAAAAATAATATAATATATACACTTACTCAATTATAATATATATTCAAATATAGTCAATATTATGTAGTTCATAAATATATTTATCCAGAGGCACCAATGTCATAGATTAATAAGTGGATGGGTCGGATTGTAGGTGGGTATAATGTGAAGTAAAATAGAGACCTCAATTTTACTGTAAATATTTTACTATATTAAGTTATAATAATCTCTGCTCTATAATGTTTCGAAGAGAATTATTTTTGCAAATGGGTGGGACGTGGGTCGAGGGTGGGTGGGTGTATTGATTAAAAATAGATATGTCATAGGTATTTTAAAATACATTGGTGCCCCTTTATTTATCTGTGATTAGGAAAGTATATTATATGTTTATGATTAGGACAGCATACAAATGATAAGAATTTGTAAACATTGCCCAAGTGACAAATGGCGTTAGGCATAATAATTTTATACGGAGTCGGCTATCTAGTTTATATATGTGATTATTTCTGGGGTGACACTTCATCATGCTATAAATATAAAAAATATATTCTCTCAATGATGCAGCAAAAACGCCATTCGAATTGATTTGGATTTGATAATAAAAACATTTTTTTTTTTAAAAAAAAATTATTAATTTTAACAAATAATGAATGTGCTAATATCATAGAATACATACATAACTTTAATATTCAACAATTTTTTATTGCCTTTTGAAAGTATACTAGCCTATATTCCTCTATATTTTATTCTGTCCATAATATGACATATATAAATATTGCCGACAAAGCAACACTATAAATCGAACTCTGCTCAGAATAGTTTTTTCGTTAGCAATGGTTAATCATTGCATACATTTATAAATTAAATTTCCCCTTTACTACCTTCTTAATTTATTACCTAGAACAGTGGTCCACCGACGTTCAAAGTACCAATGTCCGTCTTTTTTTTTATGAAATATATTATTATTCGATACTCACTTTATTTATTTTAATTATAATATCCATCCATTTTATTACTTTTTTTTATGTAATTCGTACCTAATATTGTATTCATTTTTAATTCTGTATGAGTATTAAAGTGTTTACTGTTTACATATATTTCAGTTCGATTAGAAAATACCTAAATAAAAAATAATAAGTAAATAAATACACTTGATTGTAAAAACAATATTGTCTCAGCTCCACGTTAAAACTGAAACATTAATCAATACAAATCGAATATATCTTGGTGAATTCGTCTAATTTTAAATTTAAAATAAAACAAATTTGTTTTTGTTATTATTTAAAAATTAAAAATATTAATGTAATTAATAATTATTAATAAAAATAAACCTATTAAGTTACATAAACCGATATTTGAATATTTGTATATAATTTGATATACAGTAATACTGTATACAAATTAAAAATTATTCCTACAATTCTTTAAACGATATACCCATATTTTATCCCTAAATTGGGATACATTTTGAAACCGATGTTTGAATTTAAATTACTGACCTTATAAATATAATAATTTGATAATGTCTGTATTGGAAGATGCTAATAAAAAACAAACTAATTTTTATTTCAGATCACTGTGCGCTTATGCCTACTTAGGTACCTACTTTTATTTAACTGTGGAAATCTACTGTTTGTAATTTTGAACTCGGGGTTTTCGTTGGGTTGTTTGTGTTGTAACAAAATGTTTATTGGTAGGTAGCGAAGAAAACGGGTTGGTGATAGAACCACAAATTAATTAGGTACACATTATTTAAAAATGTAGATAACGACGTTATATAGGTAGGTAATATTATTTCAAAGTGAATATTAGATTTGAGCATAATAATATTGTATAGTAGGTAGGTTATGTATATTGTATACGTTATACAGGCATTGAGACTTAGTAAAACTGCTCTTGGCGATACCATGGGGAGTCAAGTGATAAATTTATTATCGAACGATGTAAATCGGTTCGATACGGCGTCACTGTTTTTGCATTTTGTATGGGTTGGTCCGCTGAAAACTATTGTGGTCACGTATTATCTGTGGCAAGAAGTAGGAGTGTCATCGGTGTTCGGAGTAGCCATAATGGTTATGTTCGTCCCGTTAATAGGTAACGAAAATAAAAAAATTATTATAATAATTGAAAACAATTGGGTATAATTTCTACGTCTGATTTGTGTATAGGTTGGCTGGACAAGAAAACTTTTGAATTCTGGCAGAAGACGGCTTCAAGAACTGGTACGAGAATACGTTTAATGAACCAGATAATTTCCAGCATGCAAGTCATTAAAATGTATACTTGGGAAAAACCTTTCACGTATCTCGTACAATATGCACGGAAGTACGTATTTAAGTCCCTACGGTATTTGCATTTTGAAACCATTACCTATCTAATTAATTACTCACCTGCCTACTTGTTTAAACCTTTTTTTTTTCTGTATGACGATTTTGTCGTTCACTCAGGAAAGAAATGCATCAAATCAGAGGATCAGCGTATATCCAAAGCGTTTTGCTATCGTTCGCAGTGTTAAACACGAGAATTGCGTTGTGTTTCAGTATTTTATCTTACGTGCTAATGGGGAATGATATTACCGCGAAAAAAGTAACATTAAACCACGATTTGCTTATACGATATAGGTACCTTTATAGGCAAAGGGCGCATTTTAACATACTGCACCCGGTTTCAAACCAGGTCGAATACCCGTTGGTTAACGTATTAATCGTAGAAACTGTGATAATGGGTTCGATGGCGTCAATTGCGCAATACATAATCTCCGTATGTGATTTAAACATTTTGATTTGATCCGAGGCTTATCCCAATCGATTTGTATTCTCATTACCTACCCGACGTGGTATTGCGCATCAAATCGAGGGTTATTTTCATTTAAAATAGTTTAAAATTTTTATTTTTTCATATCGGGTGATACATAACATTCAACCGGATCTGAAACCAGGTGCAGTATGCTAATATGTGGCCCGGATTAAGGGTTGTAGGGGCCCGGGGGCCAATATTACTAACGGGACCTATTATGATTGACCGCACAAAACTTATCATAGAGATCCATAATAAAATTATACACCAAAGACTTAAATAAAATTATATTTGAAATTTCGAAGTGGGAGCAGATGCCCCGTTTTGCCCTCCCACTTCCGGGCGCCAATGTCTATTCTATTAAAATGGAACAAATAATAATAAAAAAAAGTCATCAAATATTTGATTCAACTCATAATATGGTTTTTGTAAACCCCCTGTCCCTTCCTTAATCCGGACCTGCTTTACCTTACCTTAATTGGCCGTTGTACCTAATATTACCCATATGTTTTAGGTGTTCGTCGTGGCTTCATATTACAACTTACTGCAGATGACGACAACGGTATTTTTTCCCCAAGGTATTGGACAAATGTTCGAGTTGTTAAAGTCCGTCGAACGTTTACGGGTACGAAGTATTATATATTTTAAATTAAAAAAATATCAAACAATAATAATAATAACAACATTACGTGTTGATATTTTGTTTTGTAGACATTTTTGTTGCTTGAAGAAAAAGATGATCAAGTAGTGGATAGTAAATCAATTATTGTTAATTATAGTAACGAAGCCGAGCAATCAAATCTAAACGGTTCAAGGATTATACTTTCTGGTGCTACGGCCAAGTGGGTGAACGATCAACCCAATAACTGTTTAGAAAACATTAATCTGACTGTGGAATCGGGACGATTGGTCGCTGTTATCGGTCGCGTAGGAGCCGGAAAAGTATAATGCGTTTTAATTCGTTCGTAAATAATATTATTATTTTTAAATAATTGCAGAGTTCGTTATTACAAATGATCTTGCGAGAATTACCACTTTCCAAAGGAAATATTTTCGTGGGCGGCGTTGTGTCCTATGCGTCGCAAAAACCATGGCTTTTTACTGGTTCTGTTCAACAAAACATTCTGTTCGGTTTGAAGATGGACAAAGAGCGTTATCAAAAAGTAAATTAAATAAACATTTTTTTTTTTCTTGCATAAATATCATTTTTCCATTGAATAGGTTATACAAGTATGTGCATTGAACACGGATTTTGAACAATTTCCTCATGGTGATAGAACAATCATCGGAGAAAGAGGTGTATCACTTAGTGGTGGACAAAAATCAAGAATTAATTTAGCGAGGTATTTCAAATGTTTATAGTAGCCTAAGCTTTAGTTTTATTAAAAATTAGTAAGTGGAATCTATTACAGTTTGGAATTCTATTATATTTATAATCTTGTTTAATATAAATATGATCTAGCTAGATATACTTAGCATCATACTATTTTAATTTAGATTAGTCAGTTTTCAGATTATTAAGTATTATATTATTTAGAATTATATTTTTTAAATTTTATTTCAGAGCTGTTTATAAACCAGCAGATATTTATTTATTAGATGACCCTTTGTTTGCTGTAAACACTAATATTGGCAAACATCTATTTGAAAAATGTATAAAAGGTACCTATCATTGATAATAATATTATATTTATATCTATAATTTTATATTTAACATGATGTATGTTTATATAGGTTATCTTAAAAAAAGGATTTGTATTCTTATTACACACCAGATACAATATTTAACTAAGGTTGATCAAATTTTTTTAATTGAAAATGTTAGTATTATAGTATATTATATTATTGTATATTAGTTTCAAAAATAATACTGAAAATTGTTATATAATTTTTTCATAGGCAAATTTAACTGAGTGTTCATATCAGGAAATTCAAGCATCTAGCCCAGACTTTTTTAAATTAATTGGAACTTCGGTGGAACCAATAATTTCATCTGATAGTGAATCAAAGTGTGCAAAACCTAATAATTTAGAAGAGTGCAAAATGATACCAGATCAAAATTCTACTAAAAATTATTTGCCATGCATTGATAATACCAAATTTGGCTTATCTCTTGATGCTCCACTCAAAGTAGCTGAAACTTGTTCATCCCGGAATATTTCCTGTGCTTTATATTGGTCCTATTTTGCTGCTGGTGGAACTATGTGTAAAATATGTTTTTTATTAGCAATGTGTATTTTTACTCAAATTTTGGCATCCGGTGGAGATTATTGGATTGTGTTTTGGTATTAAATCTTAGTACCTACTTTACCTACAACAGTTATTAATTACTTTTTTGTTTTTTTTAGGGTTAACTGGGTACAAAATTATTTCCATAGTAAAATTAGTGTTGAATATAATAATACTACATTAATAACTGATGATATTCCCTATAAATGGTTTTGGATTTCTCCACAAAGGTGTATTGAGATTTTTGTTGTTTTAACATTGTCTATGATATTAGTTACCCTTATAAGATCTTTTGCATTTGTATCAGTTTGTTTGAAGGCCTCTATGATCTTGCACAATAAAATGTTAAATGCCATAACCAGAACCTCATTGCACTTTTTTTATATTAATTCATCAGGTAATATTAATTAAAATAATATCTTTTAGTAATTATTAATCAAATTTATTTATATACACATTTAGAACAAATTCTTAACCGATTTTCAAAAGATATAGGTGTGATTGATAATATGTTACCATGTATCATGATGGATTGTATACAAGTATAGTATAATATTACTTTATTAGTTACATGTTGCTAAAATTTATTAAACTAGCATTTATGTTTAAATTATGTATGCATGTTAAAAATAGATTGGATTGACACTGGTTGGATTCATTATTGTTGTTGGATTAGTGAATGTTTATCTTATGATATCAACAGTCGTAGTTGGAATAATCCTTTACAAAGTAAGATGTTTCTATTTAGTGACTACTGAAAGTGTCAAACGGTTAGAAAGAGTTAGTAAGTACAAAAATTATTTTAATTACATGAGACACTGCTAATTATCATGGAAAATTTTAAAATAGCACGTAGTCCTGTATATGCACATTTATATGCATCTCTTCAGAATTTAACAACAATAAGAGTATTTGAGGCAGAACAAATTTTATCTAAAGAATTCAACAACCATCAAGTTAGTAAAAACTATAATATATTTTTTTTATTATTATTTTAATTGTATTCTAATATTTTAGGATTTACATTCTTCAGCATGGTATTTATTTCTTTCTTCTGGTAGAGCAGTTGGATTATGGTTGGATTTAATATGTGCTGTCTACATGAGTATTGTAATTTTCAGTCTCTTAGTTTTCAACAGTAGTAAGTCTAAAAAATAAGATTTTTAATTAAAATAATGAAATTCAAGGGTCATTTTATTTTAATTCAGATACGTTTAGTGGTATGGTTGGTTTAGTTATTTCTCAGATAATCGGATTGACTGAAACATTCCAATGGGGAATGAGACAGTTGACAGAATTAGAAAATCGAATAGTATCAGTTGATAGAGTACTGGATTATACAAATTCTCAACAGGAACCTGCTCTTGAAATTCTTCCAGGTAATATTAATTTCATTATTTACAACATAATGTATAAACAAAATATTGTTTGTTTGTAGACGAAAAACCACCAAAAGATTGGCCACAAAATGGACAAATTACTTTCAAAAATTTTTATCTACGCTATAGTCCAGATTCACCTTATGTTTTAAAAAATCTCAATATTAGTATCAAATCAATGGAAAAAGTAATTTTTAGTTAATTTTAAAAGTTTACAATTCTAAATAATGTAACTGTCAAATACGCGATCTACAAAATGTTAATTGGCCTACTGATAATGTTGTATTGATCTACACATTTCTTTTATTGATATAAATATTAGTCAACAGATTTCATTTATCACAGTTATTGTCAATATGGACATTTTAGACTATTTTTGTGAAAAACTATTTTCAATCATTAATACTGGCCTTCAGTAACCTTGTAAATTCTTGTAATCTTGTGAATTTTTACGAAATGTGTTCAATATTTAAAGGAACAAGGGTTATTACTTGACAATAATAAATATATACTTTGGTATTTTATGTAATGTTGAACTTGTGGAATGTTTTAGAAGTAGTAAAAAATGAATTTTTGATGGCATTATGAAAAAGGTTGTAACATTACATATATCTTACAGGCCGTAGTAATAGTCATTATGTGAAATAATGGTAGTAGTTTGGTTTTGGGTTAATTTAGTTCCATTAAATCAAGCTATATTGTAATTGGACGGTCAGAAGTAAAAACACCATCCAGATATACCAGTATATTGTTTTTTCAAAAAGAGAAAAAATAGGTGGTTATGTTTGTACCTACTGTCCGAATCCTTTTTTCAAGGTAAAAGATAGTATAACCTTGGTCAATTACAATGTATGGATTATTAGCCATTATGAAAAATAAATATTTCCAATGACAACAATTTTAATGAAAATGAAAAAGTGCAAACAAATAAAAATTACTTGAATAATATACAAAGTTCATGGGTATTTAGAATTTGTTGAAAATAGCTTGCATTACTATTAGAATGCCCATTTTTTATCATAGGAAACCGAGACCGAGAAATTCTTTTACTGATTATTAAAAATGAAATAAAAACTGGAATGACTATTCATAGCGACCAATTAAGAGCGTACTTTATATTAAATTTTCACGAAGTCATTCATCAGAGAGTTAACCACTCAGAATTATTTATTGACTCAGAAACAGGAGCACACATTCTACAAATTGAAGGCTTGTGGAAAAATATAAAATCCTAATACAATATTAAAAAAAATGGGGCATCTGCTTTATTAGATAGACTACTCCAAGAAGATTGATGGAGATTATGTCGAAATCCAAGAACTATTTTTGATGAATTTTTGGCTGATATGAAACAGAAACAACTGACTAAGACAATATGGTAATTGAAAACATTGAAAAGTGGATTAAAAAAATGTATGAAATTAATTTACAGGTTAGTTAAATTAATCTGTATTTTAAATTTATGATGTAGGTTGCCTATTGGACTGTAAATCAGTGTATAGGTCGCGTATTGGACGTAAATTAGTGTGTAGATCTCATATTGGACCCATACCCTTAATCTATGTTTTATTTAGGTCGGAATTATAGGTAGGACTGGTTCTGGAAAGTCATCTTTGATAAGAGCATTATTTAGATTAGCTGTTAACCAAGGCTCCATTATTATCGATAATATAGATATTAATAAATTAGGACTTCATGAACTACGATCTAAACTTTCTATCATACCCCAAGAACCAGTTTTATTTCCCGGAACGTTGCGGACAAATTTAGATCCTTTTGACGAATATCCAGATCATTTCCTTTGGAATGCCTTGGAAGAAGTAAATAATACATCTATTTTCAATTAGAAATGATATATTTTTTTTTTTGCTTAATGAATAAGTCTAATAATAGTGATATTGTCCTTTTAGGTAGAGCTCAAAAACGCCATTGAAGATTTATCAGATGGTCTGAAATCTAAAATGTCTGAAGGTGGTTCTAATTTTAGTATTGGTCAAAGACAGTTAGTGTGCTTGGCCAGAGCTATAGTGCAAAATAATACAATTCTTGTGCTGGATGAAGCCACTGCCAATGTTGATCCACAGTAATTAAAAATATTAAAATAACTACATAATAAATGTTATACTGTAAAAAAAAATGGCATTTCATATAATATTATATTCGATTTTTGTTTAATTTTCTAGAACTGATGCATTGATTCAAAATATCATAAGGAATAAATTTGGAATATGTACAGTTTTAACAATTGCTCGCCGATTGAAAACTGTAATGGATTCTGATAGAGTGCTCGTGATGGATGCAGGTACAATGGTTGAATTTGATCATCCATATAATTTGTTAAAAAATAAAGATGGTTTTTTGTACAATATGGTACAAGAAACAGGACAAAGTACTGCTCATTGGTTGCAAAGTGTAGCCACAAAGGTAAATTTTTATTACAAAAATATATAACTCTGAATTAGAGTAGAATTGAATAGCATTTTTTTTTGTTTTTTATTACTATGCTTGTTTGATTTTATAGAACTATAACAAAGCTATGCAGATAGCCAAAACATCTCCACTACAATTAACTATCAATGATGTAAACGATGACCCAAACAGAACACCATAGTTTTTTATCCATGGAGATTTAAAATATAATAATCATACAGTACTTAAAAATTAATTAAATTGTCAAATTCAATTTAATAAATTTAAATTAATTTTAATTTGCTTGAATAGGCATCCCACCATGTGAAACAGATTTTTCTAGAGCTGTTAATATTGAATTTATTTTTTATTTTATTCAATCTGCTTTTTTTTTTAAGAATTAAACTCTCTATTTTCAAAAGTAAATATTAAATATTTTTCAGATTATTTATTTTTCGACAGTTATATTTCTCTGATAAATATTATCAACAAAATATCTGCGTAAGTACTTTATACACGTCCCCATGGATAAGCTTAAGAACTACTTAACAAATTTTAAAATTTTAAATGTTTATTTATTTATTTTTGTTTATTCATGGGTTACCTTGATGATATGAATGACAATATTGGTTGTCACGGAAGGGTAGGAATAACGTGCTATATAACACTTTCCAATTTCATTTTTTTTTGTGGAATAACGTTCTATAAATCTATCTCATAATATTTATATTATAAAATTCTAAATTATATTATAAATCAGAAAATTCTCAGAATATTCTTATCGTACATAATCTTTGTGTATAAACTTATAAACCGGCGATTTGTTGATAGTTGAAACGTGCTATGTACGTGTTCTTCACAGTCAATTGACACGCCGCGTGACGTACTGACATCGCGATTGTATATATTTTATATTTTTACGTGATGTTAAGTACAAATAATATTAATTTATCTAATAGTGATGTTAACTGTCTAATTATTGATGAAAACATGAAAGATATAAAGATATGAAAGTGACTTCTTTAAGTCATTGCCAGGATAATGTGTATTATTATTAAATTTAATAAATATTGTAATTTTTTAAAGAGTAGATAATAAAAAAATACATTTTCATGAATATTAGTAAATTCAATTTTTTTTTTTCAATTTAACATGTGCAAATATAGTAGTTCAATTTTTTAAAAAGTAATAATATATGTTTTTTTTAATATAAGTAAATTCAAATATTTTTTGTTATCGTTTAAGTGTATATGGTATACAAAAATGATTATGTTTAAAGTTGAAAGAACATACTACGTGCTGTCCAAATAATATTTAAAAGAAATAATATAATTTATTTTGTTTTTACTTGATGCTGTACAATTTAAGAATTGCTACATAGCACGTTATTCTCGCCAACCCTTCTATTATTATTTTTAGGCATTATTATTATTATTTACATTAATAGCAATAGCAAGGCTTTGTCCGGTCAGTTAGTTTTATAATAATAATATTACCAAACATTTTTTTAATTATATTAAGGCTAGATAATTATTATTACAGAATACTGAATTTAAACAGATATTAATCACAGTAGTGACTAGCAATGCGAAGCACGACAAAAAGCCATTCGACAATAAACCACCATACAACATTACCAACTTTATAATTAAGTAAGCATTTTAGGAATTTTAATCCTCATAAAACCACTCAACATACAACTCTACCAACCAAACCAACCATATATTTTAGTATGATAATACCTTTAAAACATTTTATACTGAAATATATTCGATTTCAAATCTAGTGGTATAAACATAATTTACTTTAATAATTGTTAATTAATTTTGGTAACTTTTTATTGAAAAAACTACCTTAAAGCTACTGAATACAATTATATTATATATTAATATGTGGTTGGTAGTATCGTTTGTTATCACGTATTCATGTGGCTTTATGTTGCATGGTTTTTGTCAGATTGTCAGATGGCATTTTGTCGGATTATGATGATGGCACCGCCTCAATTGCCTCGTCCTCAAAACCCCCATGATCTTCATATCTGATCAACAGTTCTTAGTGACACCCGTTTTAATTTTTATGGTTAAGATGTGAACAATACAGTAGGAAATAATTTGATTTATATTGATATAAATTGAAAATGTTAGAAATCGAAACTGCTGTTATGATATGAATGCATGATGCATTACACTTTTTAAAACAGTATCTTTTATAAAATGGCTATTTTGAAAAAATTATGAAGTGATTAAAAATGTTAATTTTTTTTTTGTCGATGAAAATTAAAATTTAACTGGTCTCTAAATATATGTTCTTCTCAAAGAAAAGCAGCGTAAAAAAAAATTGTAAAACAATTGAATTTTTATAGCTCTAGAAAATCACTGTCAATGACCTAGTATATAATTGAATTGTCGTTGCTTCTTATTTATTATTGACTACTATTCAGGCCTTCATTACTTTTATGAAAAACGTCATATTAATAATTATAAACATTTTTATTTAATAATTCAAATGTATTATTATTAATGATTTAGTATTATGTTTGTTTTTATAATTTAAACATGTAAAATTATAGAATTTTATCCCTTACAAAGGAATTAAAATGTATGCAACAACTATTTTTATTTTGTATAAACTATTATACTTTCGGTTTATCGACAATCGTCGACCATCGATCATCGATTATTGTAGTTATTATTAGAAAATTATACATGTCTCGTGTATAACACAATTATTTTTATTAGTGTTGTATAAATGGGTTTTCATAATAATTTGGAAAAAACAAAAAAAAAAAAATGATCGGAAAACGGCAAACATTTACGGCGCGCCTGAACGTTAACGATTTTATTGTTTTTAAGTACCAAATATGAGGCAAAGATATTGATTATTGAAATGGGTTCTGAAAAAGAAGTGTACGTATAATAATAAAGTGTGTATATATTTTACATAATGTCGTAAGTAAAAAGAGAGATGACTATCTTGATAATTGTTAAGAGATGTTATATGCGTGGTCAAACTCAAGACAACCAACTTTATAGTCTGTAAGAAATAGGGAATCACGGTGGTGCACGAAGATAGTAAACAAGGGCACAAGGAATTCGAGATGATTTTGTAATTTTTTTTACCATTAAATTGATAAAATAGAACACCACCTTACAATAACATTTTAGACTCCAAACGTAGCGATGTGCGTTTGTATTTTTTTTTGTTTTGAACCTGTGTGCAACTTTTTTACCAAAAATCTTGATCTTCTGCATCAAGTGTAGTATTTTCTGATAGGAAATTTTATCTAGTAAGTGAAATAAGGAGGTCATTTTTTGATTTTTCAAGAAAAAGAAAAGTTGTCCATAAAAAAAAAAAAAAATAATAAAAATAATCGTCATTGTAAATCCAATACATTGCTCATTCCGTTTAGAATCTAAAAGACCGACGTACAAACATCATACGATGGGTGGGCCACTGAGTAAGAAGTAGTTGAAGTATAGAGGGGAATTTAATGTATGCAACAATTAACCAATGCTAACGAAAAACGATTCTGAGCGGAATTTGTTTATACATGGCTTAAAAGACCGTAAATATTTACAATTGTTGTCAACATTTGATATTAAAATACTAATAAATAAAAAATACTTAATTAAAATCAATTTTTCTTGTTAATTACTAATACAACTAGTGTATCTGTTTAATAGAAATTACATAAAAACTTCCGAAATTTAAATGCCTACAAATTACTCAAAAATAGCTCCAATGTTTTGAAAATTTTACTATATCTATAAAAGATAAATATAAATTTTATGTCCAAATATTAAGTTTCCACATATTAAATTAAATTCAACAAAAAAAAAAAAAAAAAAAAAAAAAAAAATTTAAAATGAAAAAAACATTTTTTTCGT